AGATGGTTTTCAAGCGCTTGTTCTTGTTGCCATCGTCGTCAAAGGCTAGAAGACCTTAAACACCAGACCAACCCAAACCTATTGTGTGATCTTTATAAAGAACATGCATTATGGTTTCAGTGACGTCGTCCAGTTTGCAGTCACCGTTCGACTTCTTCACTATATTTCAGAAAGCGGTACGCAACTTAAAGGTATTTTCGTCTACCACATATTCTAAGGCGTAGCACTTCTGGGGATTGCGTTTAGTCATGAAACGTAAATACAGCGCATTTCACGAAGCAAGAGGTCATCGTAATGGATGGATTTTTTCATCATTCACAAACCATCCTGCCTTCTTGCACAAAATACGTGTGGATGTTAATTTTTGATTAATTCTACACTTCCTACCTTCATAGCGTACTTTTGCAGCTTCATTTTTCAGCTATCGTTGGAAGATCTCCGCTGAACAGCCGACACCTTCGTCGTCGCCGGTGACACAGTAAGGGTTTTACCGCTAGCCGATGGTTTCCTTAGATGGTTCGGAATTTGGTGTTTTTGACAGTATTTGAATAGGTTGAAGTTTTACTGATTGATTTGTTCGCTATGAAATTTGTTTATTGTTTATGGTCTTGTATTAGATAGCACGCTGTTGCAACTCTGCGATGGCTGGCGTTTAAGACAGTCTCGTGATGACATGTCGGCTGGGAACTACAGTCTTTTGGCTTTATTGCTTATAACTAGTCGCGTATTTTGATTGAATGTCGCTAATCACCTGTCTATGCGATTTGTCTCCTCATTTTGACCAGTAGATTTTACTACCATTTACCCTGACCTCGAAAACCTTGCATTTTACCTGCTTCTCGTTTAGCATGTCTGCGATATATTAAACGAGTATTTCTATCATTTTCATTCATATTCACGTCAGTGTGACCCAGAGTTGCAATTTTATCAGAGCATAAATTATTGTGCTCGTCTGCGTGCCATTTACTTTTGTTGTTTTGAAATTAAATCGGTGCGTTTCGCGGTACTGCTCTCCAGATTTTACACTGTACTTGCCATCAGTTTGTATGTACATTTTTTTGGAAGTTCAACTGTAAAAAAATTCCCATACAGTTAATAAATACAAAACACACAGAAACTTACGAGTCTGCGGTAAACGACAGATGTGCTTAAAAGCTTAAAGTTCATTTTAATATTTATTCGCTTACGCTGCGGCATGGCTATAAAGACGCAGTGCTGCATCTAATGTAATGACACTTTAGTACATTGAGCCGTCGCGTGGTCTCCTAGCCCGGTAGAAACAAGCAACGAGACGGCGCTGACGTCACGTAAATCAAGTACAACGAAATAATTATATTTTTACCAAAAGAACTGAAATATTACCATTAGCGGTATTTATCTCCTAAAACTTGGACTAGTCTATGTTTATACAAAATATGACTGATTTTTGAAATGACCCGTTGCAGCAATAAATGGCCGTCACCGGAAGGCAAAACTGGTTTTCTTCTTGTACATCTGGGATCAATTGTACTTTGGGCAAATTATCCATGGTTCTGTTGGGTGTATCAGTTTTATTAGTTCATACGATACTTTGTATATGTTGCTGTTTCATACGGAAAAATTAGATTATGCATCAATTCTGTTCATGCCCTACATTGTCAAAATATGGCTTTTACCAAAGATTTAGTATTATTAAAAAAGGATATTCGTCAAGGTAATTACATCAAAAAGTAATAAAGTGAGATGCAAGGGTATGAAACATGGAAGCGAAAAATAATTCCCATGGGCAAAATCACCTCAGTAAGCTTTCATTTCCAAACAGTCCAAGTAATGGGTCGAAGCGGTTGCTGGGCATGGGGCCATAAACCTTTATCTGTCTCACATGAGTGTCTCGGCCGTTCTGATAGTTCTGCATGATGACGATCTGCAGCATGAACGTCCTGATTACCGGCTCATCAGCGGTACGAAAAGGGACCAGCGTCCAGC